AGAAAAAAGGGGAAAAAGATAAAGAAGGAAGGGGAAGAAAAGAAAAAAGGGGAAAAAGAGGGGGAGAGCCGAAACTCCCACTCCCCCTCCCCCGCAGCAAGTTCGGACGAAAACCAAGAAAACCTTCACCGGAGAAAGGGCGGACGACTTGGTGGATGTTCATGTAATTTTAAATGTCAGAGCATCCAAAAAAATCCACTTGACTGTTGGATCCATTGACATATATACCCTCCATTTTACTTTTGCAATATCATTCTTACCCCTGACATCACTCAACCAGATGGCAAAATTAGGGGCACAAATGTCATTTTATGCATTAACCAACTTCCAAACTCACATAATTGTAGAGTCTGCTATCATTCAGACGTGGGGTACGGTACTGGTTTTTAATGGGGGGCAAATGGGGCATAATTTTCTTCCATCCTTTCACAAGATACGAAGGCACCCCATTACCCTTGTTTGTTTGAATCAGACTTAACCAAGCGAGAAGCCCAGCAAAAGGAAAAAAATTGCAGCTATGAAAGTTGATGGAGTGCCGGCCCCTATAAGGTAAGCATTTCGTTCTCCTGCAATTGATATACTTAGAAAATTAACGCGCCGCGGCTAAGGTAAGCATTTCGTTCTCCTGCAATTGATATACTTAGAAAATTAACGCGGCGCGGCGCGGCGCAACGCAGCGGCCTAATATATTTTTACAACACCTTTTATTGAGTTAAGTTGTCGATGAGTTAAGCCCCCTTGTAAGGGGAGATTGCCAGGGAGAATAGCAGGGAGACTGGTAGCGCCTGTGCATTGGCTTGGATAAAAGTGTTTAAGGTCCAATGAATGTGCGCCACCTGTTACCATGTAATGCAGACCGACAATTCTTCCTGTACATGTGGCAGAGTTGATTGTCCATAAAGATTGATGAAATATGTGCGATATGATTAGGTTCCACGAACTAAAGAGTTCTTTAGTTAATTTCTTGATATGTCTTGTAATTGATAGATATGCAGTGGTTACCGGCGCAAACAAGGGCATTGGGTTGGAGACTGTCCGGCAGCTTGCACGCGCAGGCTTGACTGTTGTTCTTACAGCCCGAGACGAGAACCGGGGTATAGCAGCCACATCACTGCTTCAGGAATCAGGTTTATCAAATGTAGTGTTTCATCAGCTTGATGTTCAAGACAGAGAGAGCATAGAATCATTGGTCAACTTCATAAAAACACAATTTGGAAGGCTTGATGTTTTGGTAAAACTGCAATGCTTTTGTTTCATACTTCCATTATCTTCTTTCTATAACACATTTGATGATTTAATTTCTTCAGGTAAACAATGCTGGAGCTTCTGGAGTTTTAGTTGATGAAGACGGCCTCAGGGCATTAAATATAGATCCTGCAACTTGGGTAAGATTTTATGATACTTCAGTCGATCCAGCTTTTATTATCGTCCCCCACCTTTCAAAGACTAAAATAAATATGTTACTCCGTGAGAACTTAAAACTTTTAGACGTGATTGATCAACATGGTATCAGGTTAGGCAAATGTTGTGATTTCAAGTCTCGTTGCCAGCTAAAAAATTGTGCAAGTGAGACATTTGATGAAAAAAATTTGACGTGTCATAACTATTTCATCTAAAAGTTTAAGTGGGTAAAGCAAATACATATGGCGGAGACGAGACTTGAGCCCAATATTTTGCCTCTGGTACCATATTGAGCCAGCCATTCTCATCTAGAAGAACCGTCAAAGTAGTTCAATGCTACTGCTAATACTTGTCTCTTATCTAGTGCAGTTAGCGGGAAAGGCAGTCAACTTGGTCCAAGATGTGATGAAAACAACCTACAAGAAGGCAAAAGAATGTTTAGATACTAATTACTACGGTGTCAAAAATGTAACAGAAGCTCTTCTTCCTTTGCTACAGCTTTCGACCTCTGGAGCAAGGATAGTAAATGTTTCTTCCCTAAGAAGTGAATTAAGAGTAAGCAGATCATTCTACTCCCCTCGACTTTTTCTTTTTTAATATTATCCAGTGTTGTCTACTATGCTTCACCAAATATGCCATAGAGCTTCGACGATACGTTTAATCAAGAAATTCCCACTCTTCCACAAGTAGGTGGAGACTGTCGGAAAAATTGGTTTATTGAGGCTGTTTTGACATAATTTTGAGTGGGACCCATTTGTTCATTTTGGAAGATCGAAGTTGATTCGTGTTCTCCTCCGCGAAAATATCGAAATCATATATTTAGTTGCCAAAAATGATAATTGGGTGAATGAGAAATTGGAGTTCAAAGATGACCATTTGGAAGGAAGAGTGCTGGCGGGAAAATTATATGTAGTTTGTCCCAAATAGGAAGATTATAAAAACAATAACCATTTTATACGTGTGACATAAAGGCTCTCTCCACGTGTGCACGCAGGGGGGTGAAAATCAAGAATCGAAATTGTACATCGGACCTTGAACTTGTGTACCAGCGCGACCTACGTACACAAATGTCGGCCGAACGGAGCCAAAATTGGCCCCTTAGGAGTGTTCACGTTTTGCTTTTATTTCCTATAAATTTTTTTTTTGAACATTCCAAATTCTCTAATGAAACTCTTGATTTATCCATGTGTTAATGAAAAGATTAACAGACAGATTAATGGTGGTTAATGGCCATAACACCGGTGATTCCTGGCCTGTTAATTCCATTACAGCCTACTTACATGGTCCATATTCCTCCACTCCAAAAAATGAAAAATTCCATAGTCTCCAGCTTCTGTTTTCATGATTCTGTCTTTCTATATTTTCCAGTTTTTTTGTCCAAGTCTTGGTCGTTGGTTTAGAATCAGACTCAGTTCGCCTGGTAAAAATTACAGTGTACAATTTCTACAGGTTTATCCGTTGTATTCTAGGAGACTGGCGCTCAATAAAACCTCAAGCACTAATGGTGAGGGAGCGAATCTGTTTTAAGAAAACTGTGTTTACATAGGCCTCGGTTTGCTAGTTTCTTCCCTAACAAAGATTATGCATTTCTGCAGTTTATTTCAGATTCGAGTTCTTAGTTTTAATTCCCTATTTATTCATACAGTAATAAAATAAATAGAATATTATTCTGTAAATTGTATTTTGTCTAACAGAAACAAGCATGCAAATTTAGCTGAAGTCTGCTGATACTTTTCGTTTGTAATGCAGAGGATCCCGAATGAGCAGACTAGAGAAGAACTTGGAGACATTACCACTCTAACTGAAGAGAAAATTGACAAGATATTGCAAAGATTTCTGCATGATTTGAAAAATGATAAACTAGAAATCAATGGATGGCAAAAAATGCTACCAGCCTACAGCATATCAAAAGCCACACTGAGTGCATATACTAGAGTTCTCGCAAAGATGTACCCAAAAATGTGCATAAACTGTGTCCATCCAGGATATGTCAATACAGATATTAATTGGCATACTGGGACAATGACAGTTGAAGAAGGAGCTGAAGGTCCTGTTATGTTGGCTCTTCTTCCCGATGGAGGTCTGACCGGAAGCTATTTTGATCGTACTGAAGTGGCCGAGTTTTGATGAGTCGTTTCCTATGCAGACATGTCTGTGAAATTATGCAATAACATATGTTATGTTTTTCATTCAATACTTTCCTAGTTTTCTGTTATGTTTTAAATTCAATACTTTTTTCTATTTTTCAATTAATTAGTACTTGATGATATTGTGATTCTAATCAATATTCGGCAAAATATTTTAACCTGCGAGACAGCCTGGCGTACTCCTGGACTCTTCTCTAAAAATTAGGAGTTGCGATAAAGTTTTACATCGGTCATTAGATGACTTCAACAAATGTTGTTTATCTGGATTTGTGACCGATATATACTCATGTTTTATAGAGATGAATGAATAGCTTTGAATTGTATTTTAGGAAGAAAAAAAATGTTAAAATCTTGTTCAGTATCGTGGACTTGGAAACCCAAGTCGGAAAGACTCCAGTAGAAAGGCGGGTCGACTCATGACGTATACCCTGTCAACTTCAGATTGCTCCGAAACCTAACAATTTGACTCACATTTGAATGCTAAACCCAATTACACGTCTGAATGCGATTCTACTTCTTCAATGTTAATACTAATGATTTAAATGTTAATCAATGTTTTATCGTAAATGGACTTAGTAGTAAATTGCTATCACCAAGTAGTACAGTTTCAACGCAACAGAACCAAAGTACAATTTCTAAAGAACCAAGTGCTACATGTCAAAGCTGTACCATGTGTGTATTCGACGTACTTTCCAATTTGGATAATTTGATCAAAGCTACTAAAGAGTTTCCATCTACTGTCGAATCAAAACGATCTTCACCATATATTTGAAGGGATAGTATTATAATCAGGACTAGAATTTTGACGCAGAACGGAAATTCTAGGTTTACAAACGTAAACTCAAACGAGAGAAAATTGTAATTCACAAGAAAATAATTGCCTCCAAAATTCAATTTGTTTATGCAAAAAACAAGAGCCTTTAAATAGTCTCTGGAAATTCTAATTTAAGCAAAAGACCAAAATAGATATCCACTAAATCAAAGTAACTAAAAACGGAAAAATAAAAAATAACGCTAAAACTTGGACTGCCTGGTAGTACGCCTTAAACTGCGAATTTGAGGCTGGAAACGACGGTAACCCGGTTGGGACGGTATAGAGCGCTGATAGACGTTTTCGAAAACATATTATAATAGAAAATTTGACAACGGTGCAAAAAGTTATGCCAATTTCTTCGGAACAACTCTTTTAGCCAACTTTAGGTCCAATTCTTTTTCAAACTCGAACTCCAATTGTCCTACATCAAATTTGTTCTTGGACAAGCTTTACTACAAAGGTTCCATCAAATGCTTGTCATAATTAAGTCCATTAAATATAAAAATAATGACTAAAATGAATTTTTTTTT